GTGTAGCAGCCGCCGCGGCCTTTACTGCTGCTGCCTCCCATTGTGTGCAGCTATGTGCACCCAGGGCCTTAGGCCAGCCTCGCGTTTGGCAAGAATTGGAAGTTATGGGATGGGACTCTGGGAAGGGAATACAGAGGGACCCTGCTGCTATTTGTGGTGTTGAGGAAAAGAAGGGGAATTATAATATGTCAAGCAAGATTAATAAACTTCTAGGGAGAAGAGGGAAAATAGGCGCTCATGTTTTTGTTTTATTTTATTTTTTGCTGAAAGACTGCTACATACTAACTACCAGCAGCAGCCAATCCAATAAGTGTGAGTGGATGGATATATTCACTAACCATTTCCTCCCTTCCTTTTCTAGCCTCCCCATTTCCCATAAAGATCTGTATATTAGTGTTAGGAAATATGGTTGAAAGCCAGTAAAGTCATGTGGACTAACATTGTGTGCTGTGATTCATCTGCTACGTAGTCTTTGTGAAATGTCCTGAGGTTTTTCAGGGTTCCCCTCCACCCCATAATCCTAAAGCAATTACTGTGATCTTTGATTTCTTGTTGAAGAGTTAAGTGGTGGCTTAGAATTCAGTATGACAGAGAAAAATGTGCAAGGGTGATAGGATGGTCCAACGAACCTCATACAGGACTTACTATTCTTTATTTGTTGTGATGTAGATCATGTAATTAAGCAAAATATTGTGATTGGGAGTTTTGTTGAACTTAAGCCAAAGAAAAGATTTTTTTTTGTAATAATTGGCAGCTTTTTACATGAGCCTTTGCAACTAAATTGAGCTAAATTGAACTAAATTGGACAACTGTCCTTGTTAAAGTTGGAAGATTCTTCTTCATTTTGTGATGCTTACCAAAAAGATTATGCTGCTGTTTCACTCTCACACATGGGATCCTGGCAATCCTTTGTGCTCAAGAACTAGAGACTCTGCATCCCTCAAAACCAGACAGAATGTTATAGAATGTTTCCAAGTGCTAACTTAGCTTGTGATGTTCAATCTGTTAGGTACCAACTTGCTGTTCACCTGTTCATAGAGCTTATAGACCAATTTAATGCAACACTTTAGGAATTTTTTTTAAGAAGATGCACAGATTTGTAGAATAAAGTATAGTTCTTTCTTAAGACCTTTGGTTTCTAAAAAGCAACAATCCTATAGCTGTTTCATGTGTATTTATGAAAAAGAGCATGTGAGGACTGGGCAATAACAACCATAGTTGTGTTCTTAGTGGGAGTATTTCACCTGGATATTATACTTGGATGTTCAGTTGCGGACTAGGATGCTGTCCCTGAAGCATATTGGCACTGGCAAGGGAGAGCCCTGGTGTACTCTGTTAGACAGGTTCAGATTTCCAGTACATGAAGTTCTGCTTCTTCAAAGTTCTTCAAAGCCATCTGTTTTGCAGTTTCTCCATTGTCTCACATTTCTTCTATTTTTAAGCTTTTCTTTAAATAGCTTTGTACTAACTTTTGTTCCTGCAAACTGACTGCTCCTTCTTGTGACAATCTCTAGTTTTGCCACTTTCTAAATACTTCACATGGGGCCTTAAAGTTGACCAGGGTCTTTTTATTCATTTATTGACAGAGAAGTTAGAGTATAAGCAGTATATTCATTGAAAATTCCCAGGTGAAACATGGTGTCTGTAATGATGAATGATGGCTTATTTTTGACACAATGTGCTCCTCCCACCTCCTTTAAACAACCTTTTAGTGTTTCTTTGTTTACCAGAAATTTTTTTCATTTGCCTGCAGAATCTATTTTTTTTTCCCAACATTGCATATACTTGCGCACCTCATTTATCTGGGAATCTGTGGTTATGTCTCGCATGCTAATTCTACTATTTCCATATTTATTTTTTAGTTGTATTAACATCTTGTTTTTAAAAACCTGGAAAGTGATTCAAGACATTGCAGAAATAACTGAAGGGAACTGTGGTAAGAGTAGCTATAAAAATCCATTATTTAGATGCACATGCTTTATCTACAAACACAGCTATCGTTGACTTTTCTTGTGAAGCCTCCTCTAATGCAAAGTACATCTCATCTAGGGATTAGTAGTGTCTTGTGGAGTGGGGGTGGGCGGGAGGGGGCAATATAATGGTAGCTCTGCTCAAAATTGGCCAAGAGTATGTCTGGCTAAGCTCACATTGTACTTCTCCAATGTGGACAGTGTAGACAGTGGTCTAAATACTTGCTTTCCAATGGAGACTTTGAGCTTTAACTGGCAATGCGTGTAGTGTAGCAGCATTTTTCTGTTACTGTATGAACAAATGATAAAAGTGCAGGCCTTCCTAAAGGTTTCTCTATGGCTACTATGTTCTTATTTCTAGGCAGTTCTGTAATAGTGACTAGAGCCATAA